CAGCAAACATCCACGAACGAACTAACATGGTAATCCACGGAGTGTCTGACCTAACATGTTTTATTCGGGATGAAGCCCACGACACACAATATGCATCAGTGGTGTTGGCCATCACGTAGTAAAGGCCTTTCCACCACCGTGATAACCAGCGTGTCCAGTCTACATCAAACTTTACACCGCACAACCATCAAATCTCTGCCTATGAAGGCTACGAACTTCAGAAGGTGAAAGGAATAAATTAGGACTCCATAAACCTTGTACAACTCGACAAAACTAACTCTCCTCTCACACCAGATGCAGAAGCCAAACTTAACCGGCAAAGAAAGAGCGAAAAACCTCATCAAAACACACGTCGGTGTATGTTGACTGTGATCAGTAACCCACGGTATAGAAGACAAAGATCATTGACCTGCTAATGGGACACGTCTTAAGCAATAATTTGCTTAAGACCGAGAACAGATGTTTCTGGAGAGCAGCACAATGCAACAAAAGATCACCAAGTGGCTCCATAGCAAAGTAAGAGGACCAAGAAGTAAACTATGGAAAATCAGAAACATGCGCTTTCAGTTAGATTTAAAGATTATAGTCCCAGCTGAAACTTGGCAGCCATCCGATATTGTAGATGGGGAAGTGAAATTACAGAGCACGACACTTTTCAGATACAGCAGGTTACACAAAACAGGAAGTGGAGTGACGATATACATTAACAGTCACTTCAAAGCCGCGACACCAAACAGTAACGAATAAACGGCAGCAGCAAGATCATTTTGGTGAACAGGACAAAGTATGAGATTAGTGGAGCAAACTGGGCTCCACAGGTTCTAACACCCTAAAAGATGGGACAATATAGGTGATAGTAAACCAATGACACCCAGAGTGTGACTGGATACTACTAGCTGTTTATTTTAACATGCCATGCCTAGATCTCAACAAGTGGGCTACAACCCATACAAGGTGGTTCCATAAGTAGCTTATCATACCCACCACGAGTTCAGGATTGGCTGAATATGTTCGTGACGACATGGGATGGCATTGGGACGGATGACCCTCAAACTTAGAGTATTTACCGACAAATGCTCAGCTTCTGATTGGGGATATCCACGTCCACTAACCATTTGGCAGTGGCGACGATGGTACAGTCGTGATTACCGTGGTCACAAAGGAAACGACTCAGAGGGACGAGAAAGTTTTCTATACTAGCTATACAATGGCAGGTTACTAGACGATGAGGAGGCATGTTAAGAACGCCCCAAGACAAAGAAGTTGGTGAACGCCAACTATTAATGAACACCTGGCGATAGTACGAGATATCATCCTGAATCTGATCCAGCAAAATATGTCCCAGGATAAAGAAAAATTCGGTAAGCAGGGACCCTGCGAAAGGCAAGGCGCGAAACACTTGCTACAGGCCAAATGGAGAACACGGAGCAAGTGGCAGGTCTCCCTGAAGGATTCGATCCATAACTCTTACTTGGCTTTGAGAAAAAGACGCGAAAACAGTCTCTGACGGCAGATGTTTTTAGGTAAGCATATTTTTTCTCTTGCAACTTTTCCGCTGTCTTTGCTAGCTTTACCATGAATTTCTGTTTATCAGCTCTAATGCTCCTCTTGACTTGCTTGTTTGCCTCTGTGTAGGCTGTATCGAACCTTTGTAATGCTGCTTGTCCAGTTGTTCAGTGATTCTTTATCTTCATTTTCATGTTGGTAACCACCAGTTGGTGGTGATCTGAAGCCATGTCATCGCCTCTTCTGGTTGTCACGTCTTATATTGACCTTACGATCGTCTAACCAGTGTAAATATTGCCGACCCAACTCTCTATACTGTGATCCGTTGAGACACATGTGGCTTTGTGTTTTTTTGTGGAGAACATAGCGTCGCCTACAACCATTTTTTTAAGTGCACACAAAGTTTCAAATACCTGTGCATTTTCGTTTCTTTCTCCTAGTTGTCACATTATATCTTCATGTCCGGTGTTGTCCATTCCAACTTAGGCGATTAGGTCTCCCATCAGGATTTTGAGATCCTTTCGTCGGTCTTTCGCTACGTTTGATTGCAGCCTCTCATAGAACTGATGTTTGCCGTCGTTGCTGTAACTGGTGGGTGCATAACATTGAATAACATTCATTGTGATTTCCTCTCTCTCTTTGTTTTGGATGATGGTTTGATAATTCCACAAGACTCTCATCCTATAATTGCTATAAGTGCTTTCTTGAACAGCATCAGCGCTAATCCCTGAGTGCACGGAGCATTTCCTACTTCGTGGCAAGAGTACAGCATCTCTCCCGTACCTAGCTTCTGCTGTCTAGATTGGGTCCAATGGGCTTCACTGATTCCAAGAACCTACCAACTCTAGTGCCACTTGAGGGTCTGGATAATATCCAACTAATTGTCATTGTACGGTATTAAATGGACTCAATCTCTATGCTCGAGAAAGTCACCAAGACGTGACATCCGACCTATAATCCTAAAACAGAGCGCCGAAGCCATTAGAACACCAGTGTGTGACCAGTTCGGGTACTCACTATATTTGTACTAACTTCCACGAACATGGAAGCAGATCAATATCTCTTTAGTCTTCAAAGGTATTGGTAGAATAAATATAGCCTGTTAAAGATCAATCGCAATACTTCTAATACTGCACATGGTAATGGAAGGACTGGCCAACTGAAAGATAAGGGAATACATGAATAACCACATTCTCCATGAAGCCAAACAAGGGAAGGCAGGTCCAGTGCGTCTAACCTACTCATATAATGCAACAGCTGGGACCATATCGTTTCACACAATATCATTCTATCTCGCAAAAGTATTTGTCACAGTACCTCATCTACTTTTCATTGCGAAGGTTTCTAAGATAGGTTTTACTGACTCAACTTTATCCTGGCTCCGAAACTACCTCAAGGATAGTGTTTCGTAAATATAGTCCACTAATGTTAGAAAAAATTAGCTTGACGGCACTGCTCTATGAAGATGACACAAAGATAGGAAGGTACATAATAAGCGGAAATGATACATCTGAGCTTTACATGGACCTTACAATTATAAAAAGATGGGAAGACAATTGTTTAACACGTAACCTGTCGAAATGTCATGTCATGAGCATCCTGCCTGATTTGACACAAGGCACTCGCATCCTCCACAAGAATCCGCCTCTGATTGTTTTCTCACAGCGCGATCCTGAGCTTGTACTGACGGAGAGCTTGAACACCAACACAAACTAAGTAGGGGATGCGGTAAATGCAAACGCACGTCTCCAATTTATGTATACATAACTTGGCGCATCTACACCAGAACTGTTCTTAACACCGTCTAAGACGTACGTACGACATCACCTTGAGGTCCACAATGTATGTGCCTCCATCTCTTCAGAGTCGATATAAATCGCTCAGACCAATTACAAAGACGAGGAATCAAGTGGGTGATAGGTTTAAAATGTAAATCGTACGAGGAGGGACTCCAACATCTAGGCTCATTGTCATTAAGCTACAGGAAGATAAAAGGTTATAAGATAATGGCATACAGAATAAGTACGCCAAGACACTGAAACGCGAGCATATTACGAGAACACCATCTCTACGTCCCTCAAGGTAACCCTCGAGAGACTGCGCATCAATGGGCGAACATCCAGGTACGCTTCCGATTTTTCCTATTACAAGTTGACCTCTGGGCCGAAGTGACCACTGCCCTATCAATGGATAGCTTTAAGTTGGGAATTGATAAACACCTACTCAACCATGGATTGCCATGTCCCTCTTGAGCAAGCTGTGTCTGATACGTGTCTCGCAAGTTACCACTTTCGTCAATACCGCAATTCTTATTTTTTTTTTAACACAAAGATATTGGTACAAGGAGGTACCGAATACATATGCGCCACACAAATCTCATTTGGTCTGTGTGAGGGCTGCGATACTGCCCGGGTGCCCAAACCTAAGCAGATGGTTTTCTTAGGGGTCACACCCGGAGCCTTCGACCTAAAGGTCTGATACACAAGGCAGTAGAGCAATGTCGACAGGTGCAGTTCAATGGTAGCCGTTGACCAACAATAGGTTCATACTACATTTGTTCCTTCAAAATACTGGAGCCCATGTGCACCATTGGTTTGGAACCAGGGTTCCCCAACTCCTGTAGGTGGACTCACTGTGACCACAGGCCCGGTTGAAGCGCCGGGCATTCGCTTTCGTCCTTTCGATTTCGTAAACAACACCCCCGCCACGAGAAGGCAATGAGTAGGACTTCCCTGGCAGAGGCTATATACGCGTGGCCATGTGAGAGCAATTCGAGAGGGAGAGCGGACTCTCCCCACTCTCGGCCGTACCAGGGCATTTAGGGGCATACCGTAAGTCTATAAGTCATTTCTATCTTTCTTATTGTCAGAGCCGTTTCCCACTTATTATTTTAATTCCGTCTTACACATTATCAATTAATTAAATTATTTGCCATCTATGATACAATCCTTTTTCCTTAACACTTGAATTATCACGTTATAATTTTTACACTACAATTAACCAACCTCCTGCCACGTAATTTGATTAAGTTCTGTACTTTCAGACTCGTCGCTGGATAGTCATTCATTGCCACGGATAAGAGTCGTTACATGGAAGAAGTAGTTCAGTTGTTTTTACTTGCATGTGGTTAGATTTACTAGCGAACGCGATGATATTTAATTTCGGATCTCATGAGACGCCGATAACACCACCCTAAATAATCTAAAAAACAAAGTCAACATAAAGATGGTTCAATTAAAAAGCTATTTATATTTATACATTTTTAAGAGGTTAGAGAAACGTCGAACAATTTGAGTTATTGATGAACATATCGATATGTAAATATGGTGTGAAAATATTAACATACTTGAAACAAGAATATTAGTTATTAATGCTGTCTCGACTACAGCGAAGTTTGGAAATGACTGAAACATAGATAAATGTTTGTTGATCATTCATGACAATTTCCAAAAGTGAGTAGCATATGAATAGATTTCATACTGGGATCAATTGACAGTTTGTGTTCCGAGTTTGGTCGAAGTAAAGGGGAACATTGTTATTGCGTTGAACTGTAATAACCACATAACGATGCAATAAGTATGATTGATTATGTAAATTCTATGATCAATAATATTAAGTAGTGTTGACAGAGAAAAATAAATCAACTGGTTATGTTCCAATTACTAACATGTGAAAAATTTTCGATCATAATGAACGGTTGATGGTTTTGATACCGAGGTAACCTTTATTTAGATTTGGGACAATAAATTTTAACTTGGTATGACAAGAAGAGAAAACTAACTGGTTGAGAAATGAATCCTAGCTGAACGTATCATAATGAAATGACTTTTTCAAATGTTATCCATATGATAATAGTGCAAAACAATAAAAATCCAAAAACGAAAATATTAAAAAGTGGCAAAGTTTCTATGGATTACTAACTTTGTAACGTAGACATCTCAATAATGTGAATCAGATGAAAAATTACGACATTATGTTACCAGAACAACTGCATTTTAACTGCCTAACTTAAAAAAGTCGTGGCTTTATAAACCAATGAAAGCATTAGTTTTTATCAGCGTTATGCAATGCTTTTATTTTCATAAGAAACGTCCAAGTCCTAAAATCGGAGTGTATTTAAAACATAACAGTAAAATGATTTCATGATAGAAAGTAGAAAACAAACAGTATAAGATGGAAGTAGTCTGTTACTTTGAACAACACTACTTTACATCTCAACATACTGCATGAGATGATGAGTCACCTAGGATAGTGGTCACAGTGAAACTTGATTTACAGAATTCGATCGACACTAAAGAGATACTTAACATACAGGACACTCGTCAGTAATAAAATAAAATACGACGAAGCATGAGAAAGAACATAAATAGAACAGAAGTCTAACATTTGAGGTAAATAAAGTTAATTTTAAGTGATAATCACACTTCACAAATGTAAATTATTACCTTATTATACGAACTGTTACGTTTTAGGTTTGACTTTGCCACATCAGAATCAACTGACGTTTTCACGTAGTCTGGACTGTGTGAATGAACTTCATTAACATTTCTCTCAAGATATCTATCATGTGTAATTGAATCATTGGTATCTGGAGAGCTTGTTAGAAAAAGACATTCTTTGTTTGGTGGTTGATTTCTGTCACGTGATTGTAGCTGCTCATTTATGATAGCTAAAGTTTCTGCACGCCTCTGGTGTAGTTTTTCCCGTAAGTCAGCTAATTCTGCAGCGTAAGTAGCTGCATCTATTTCATCGATACGGCAATTAGTCTAAAGGCACAAAATATGTTATGAAATAATAATTTGGACGTTTTACGTGTTTAGGGTTTCAGTGATTGATAAGTATCCTATCCATTTAGAGATTGTTGCATAGTTTCAACCCCTCCTATTTCATTTATTATCCCAAAATTCGCGGGAACATGGAAGATTTAACAAACTACAACTATTTTACTGTCTACAATCGAATAAAGAGGAATAACACTGGCGTTGAAACAAACATCTTCACGTAATTATACTTTTGTCCTATGGGATAAGCATCCCTATCTTATATGAGACTAATGTTTTGAACTTGTAGTACTAAGTTCAAGTTTAGCGTCCTAAAACAATACCTAAGTAATTCAACATATAAATGCCCTCCATGAATATATTTTGTTGAGTGTAACGTAACTTAGTAACCATGTACAGATTCATCTATCAGAATTTTAGATACCTGACTATTTCAATCTAAGAAGATTGAGTAAGATTCGAAGACATGATACTACAGAAGGTTGAAAGCTTTGATAACTAATCAACAGCTACAACATGGTTAAACGTTGTCACAGTAAAAGCTTAGGAAGCCTTTGTATAAGATCAGTAGGACAACAGATCGTGATCTTTGATGACCATTATTCAAAAACATGATTGAAAGTATTTTTCAATAAATTTTCATTTGTTATTTGAAAAATCAACAAAATAGAATATTTAGAGACAAAAATACGGTGATATTTGTACATTTTTAATTTGTTTTGGCGACTAAAATATACAATTCGATATTTTAAGAAAATAAAACTAATGTTGCAAAAACAAAGGAGCCTAAGCATTTATGAGAAATTAATAGTTGCGGAACTACTGATTTCTATCACATCTATTTACCATAAAATGTATTGAGAAAACTTCAACGCATGATAATTCAACATCGTGTAGCCACAGAATAAAAAATGGATGCCAAATCAATTGATGACGTAGTGAAACTGCATCAGTTGGCTGGGACACGTGTTACGTATGCCCAACCACCGACTGCCCCGACGTGCGATGTTCAATGGTGTAGGAGTAGGTTGGAAGAACGCTAGGGGTGGCCAGACCACAACATGGCACAAATCCATGAAGTCACTGACAAGTGGATTAAGCTATGTTGGTAGGTGTAGACTACCTGTTTGGGATCCGCGAGATGATAGCAACCAATGGTTAGAGACCCCGAATTACATGGCTCAGAATTGTCTGCAATGGCGCAGGTGCATACACTCTTTGTGTTATCCCGAATTTTGATCTCCTTATTCTTCCTTGTCTCTGTTTTTTCTCTTCCCAAATTTATTTCACTGTATTATACTCTTTAAATAATATCTCCAAACACTAATTTTCCTGATTACTGCTTATACTCTTATTACCTCTACCACTACGGGATTTGAATCGACCACTGCATCTCTGTGCTAATGTGGTGTGGCAACTCGAACTGATGTACGTACGTACGAAGTTTTACGTTGTTACTGACTGACTGAATCAAATACTGTACTGCTCCCAAGATTTTAAATGTATAGTAAAGACCATTCGACCATAAATGAATTTATGATTAGGACCATAAATAGTGCATTTTCTCAGTAATTTTAATTTTCGTATCCCCAAAAGTAAATGTTTAGATACTACTATCTTTCCTACATTATATCCATTCACTTACAAACTTATATTCTCATTATGCTTAATATAATCATAGTAATTATATTTACTTGAAAGAGTATGCAGCGTCTGTTATTGAAATAAATTACTACCGGCTTACCAATCGAGTTAACTCTTGCTCTAACTTGTTTAATTCACATTGGCGACGTCGAATATCGAGTTGTCTAAAATGACAACGAGATTCTTCAGCTAAGCTTAATTCATGTAATTTCACTTCGCGAATCAATGCACTTAATCTGTAAAGTAATGAAAATAGCAACTAAATGCTGAAAATTTGGTTAGTAATAAAAGTTATTTAGTTCTTAAACAGAAGCCCAACTAGTAGGAGCTGTTCTTGATCATAACAAAAGCCTTTTATCATAATGGATTTAAACTGGTTTTATTTCTTATTATGTACGCAGCCCGGTCTGATGAGTTTTTCCACATAAAAATAGTCCACAAAACGCTAAAAATGATTCAGCGACAATCCCTAACATTTTCTGACTGATAATAATTATAAGTGCTTTTTGTAGAAAACTGATCATCCTAAAACATCTTCGACGAGGACCTATCTCAAGCTTCAACAGGTGCTTAACTTGGTTTCCCATGATATACATTCTTGGTATTTTCATCATACTTAACTAATAGACATTTTCTTGTTGCAAGGTTTCTGCATCAAGTGAGACTCAGACATAAATATGCCAGCAACAGAGCATAGGGTCAATGTGTGTAATATAGGAGATATGATAACCATTTACTGACCTTTATAAATGGTGACAGGATAGTTCAGATGAAAAAAATAACCATTCAATACAGTCAGATCAAAAGAGAACGGTTGCAGAATTATTATTCACATAGTAGCCGAGTAAAACACGGTAGATGATACATAGAATTTAGACAATTGTTGATGTTTATTGAACTTATTTAGTGCACTGCTGAACTTGGTTGTTCCGTATAGAATTAGGCTCCAAATGAATTCTTCATTCAAAACTAATATTGGGGATGCTAGACACCCAGAAATAACTTGATAAACATCTCATTTATGTAGTTTTGTTTTGGAAATCTTAATTTTTCGTTTTTGCGCCAAAAGCACCAATTTTTACCTTTAGATTGTATTTCCTACTTGAAAGGACCTTAAATGTCATTGGTTCGTTGACTCTTTTAATATGCTACTTTATGAGATTTCCAAAGGACATTATTATGCTATAAATATACACCCTTGGGTTGTTTGTTGTTGTCCGCACTCCTGGCTGCATGTGGTAATATACCTTTTCTCTCATCTGAACCCCACCTCCCTCTAGTTAGCAGGACTGGGACATTTCGGAATAGTTTAGCTTGTTTTGCTGTTGTGTCGTTGATCCTTCGTTCTGTTCGCCGATTTTAGGTGATGTTGTAACCTTAAAACATAGCAATTCGGTGACGAGGCCGGTGCAAAAATGGATCATTCAGAAGTGAAGTTATTGTTGTAGCAGCAACGGAATGTTAACAGAAACGACAATTACGCCTACCACACAACCGAGCACTTCTCATTCTGCCACTGCGCTGTCAGTATTGCGGAATTTCATTACGATCCCGAAGCCAATGTTACTTTTGATATGTGCTTCTGGCACTATGAGAACTTAGTTAAATTTGATTTTGCCAACCAAGATGATGTTTGGAAGATTCGATTGCTACTTCAAAACTTGCGTCCAAGTGAGCTAGACAGGCACCGTATTTTGATTTTGCTTATAAACCCATGTAACCGTCCATTCTCGGACACTATCCAGCCGTTGAGCTAAGTTTGGAGATAACTCCTCAATGTTTAACACACATTATCGATGCTTAAAGCTGGTTATGAACGAAGACGCTGATTTCCTTAGGTATGTGGGCATCGTCAAGCGCCAGTGCGGACGCTTCTGGCTGAAGTCACTGACTAAAGACCAGTTTAAAGCCCTCATCCTCATCTGTAGTTTCCAATCACAAAAGTTCATTAGCGTTAAAACACGGTTGCTTCGTCAATTGGACCAAGATCCCAAACCGACTCTCAAGGATATTGCAAACGAATATCAATGTTTAATTAATCTGTAACACGACACTACAGTGGTCCGGTGTGGTGATTCCGATCGTTGGGAAGTTCACACAGTTCAAAAACTATCCAACACAGACAAATTCGCCCCTGCTATTCCTAATCCATCTCGTCCGAGTTGATTACAATGGAAGAAAACTAATCCTCCTGCTCCCTGTTGGCACTCTATAGTACATAGCATTATGTACGAACCTGTGCGTTTAAACAATATCGTTGCAGGAAATGTAAATCCGTTGATCACAAAGACTAATTTTAATAAAAGAATCTAAATCCGTCTGAAAGTACTAAAAAGCCTGTTTCCAGATCCTGCACAAATTCGTTGAACCCATTAGAGTCCTGTCACAGCTCAACCCCAGGTGAGAGAAAATTTATTACCCTTAATATCAATGAGAATCCATTTAGATTGCAAATAGATACTGAGTCAGACACTAACATTCTCTCACAGGAATTTCAGATTAAAATGAGCAGCCCGCATATGGTACCAACAACACAGAGGCCACGTTTGTTGGGACAACTAGATTGTAGTGTCTTCCCGTGAATCAACGTCTACTGGGGTATGTTACATAACGCCAGCTGGCCTAAATTTACTTGGTTTAGATTGGTCCGACCAGCTGCAGCTAACTGACGTTCCATTAAGTACTATAAGCCATCTGGTAAGACAACTCCGTGAACTTGAAGTATATACGACGAAGTTAATGGTGGAGTTTCCAACCATTTTCCAGCTGTTGTTGGGTCGATGCTCTGCTATGAAAGCAACCCTTCGGTTGAAACCTGGGACTAAACCCGTTTCCCGTCCGAGGAGACCAGTACCACATGTGGCATTATCAAAAGTTGATGAAAAACTCAATCGCCTCCAACTACAAGGAGTTATCACGTCCGTTTCTTATTCTGCTTGGATAGCACTTATCGTAGTTGTCAAGAAAGCTTATGGCACAATACGCATATGCGCAGATTTCGCCGCAAGCTTTAATGAAGCCCTAGAGCAACACCATTATCTACTACAGATTCCCGTAGATTTGTTCACTACGGTGGGAAATTCTTTGCAAAGCTGGACCCTGCTGATGCCTATTTACAAATGGAACTGGATGAAGAATCAGGAGAAATGGTAACCATTAAAACTTATTGTGGTTTGTTTCAATATAATCGTCTACTATTTGAAGTTAAGACCGCCCCATCTATTATCTATTATCCAGTAGCTGATAAATACCATCCCATTGCGTGTCTCAAGGAGTCGCAACTTATCTCGACGACACCTTAATTGTTGCCACGTCGCCAGAACAGCTACTAGAACGCATAATGGCTATACTACAACGAATCAGTGATAATGATTTCTAACTACGTCCAAGGACGTGCCAGATTTTCTTAAAGTCAGTAAAGTACTTGGGTTTCATTTTTGACGCAGCAGGCTGCAGACCAGATCCTGAAAACATTCGAGCTATATGGCTGATGCCTACTCCCATTATTGTTTCTGCCCTACGATCATCTTTGGGACTAGTTAGTTACTACTCGTTTTTTGTTCCGTCAGCGCATGACATCCGCGCCCCTCCGAATTGTCTTCTGAATAAGAATACCACTTGGAACTGGACGAAAGAATACGAAGCTACTTTTTGAAAGCTGAAGACGATCATTAGCTCGGAATTATAATTAACGCACCATGATCCGCCCATGCCAATCACCATAGCTGCGGATGCTGCAGCTTTTGGACTTAGTGCTTTTATCCCACATCAATTTCCGGAGGCGGCAAAATGGGCTATCATGCATGCAACCCACACATTAACTCCGTCAGAAAAATATAGCCAGATAAGAAAAGAGTCTTCCCCCTTGTCTTTGCAGTGCGCTGTTTCCACAAGTGCTTGTATGGTTGAAGATTTATTCTTCTAATATACTACAAGCCTCTTCTCATAATTTGCGGTTCAAAATCTGGCATTCCAACCCATTCTGCAAATCGTCTCCAGTGTTGGGTCTTGGTAGACAGACGCATAGCAACTAAGTATCTGCAAGGATATAAACAAAATGTCTAACAGATGTATTTAATAAAACAGGCTGACATTTAAATTTAGACTAAATGAGACATAACCTTTTCCGTTGTTCACGTAGCTTATTTTCTTCTTCAGCTAATAACGTCCTTCGATGGTCCTCAGCATCTAAAAGTAACTGCTGCTGGCGATACCTGGAAAAAAATAAAGAACAGTGAATTTCAAGGCTGAAACTGTTGGTAAAGTTACGAGATCATGCGTGACTTTATAAAAGGCACCAACGGTTCGCGATTACACGACATTACTCGGGGTAAAAATAAAATACTACCGCAACAATTATACGACTAGCTTTTTGTGGTTTCCGAACGATCATCAATCTTGTTAGTATCCAGTTGAAGTACAAATTGATTATGTGGGGTTATTACGACAAATCTACACTAAAAATGGATAGCTAACATAAACCCATGAAAATGATTACATTAACAAATTAGAAGAAATTATGCGCGATACATAAATTATTGTACCATATGTTTCTATCATGTAAAATACTCAATTAAAAAAAACCTGGCATTGCCTAGATAATATTCTAAGTGATTTATCATTCGATCTATTTTATTCTCATGAATATTTTGAGAGCACTTCTATGAAAATAATGTTAACTAATCGGTTGACATGGCGCCACGACTTTCATTGTTCAAAAATATGAACGATTGGGTGATTTCTCTAATACGAGAACGACTGGGTGGATAGGTACAGAACAAAACTGACGAATAAAATCGCACAACAATAAAAAAAGGCAGAAGACGGGACTTACGAGCCAGATATAATGTTTCAAGAAGAAATAAATAAATGAGTAGCATTACAATATACATATATGGCATAGTAGCCAATAGGAGTATGTGTGGATTATTTGATATTCTCATATTGAAACGGTCATCATAATACTGAAGTATGAAAGGTTACAACAATCATTGTCGTTGTAGCAACACCAACAAACCACCATAATGATTTGGGTCAACACCAACACAATAGACTAACAACTCATACGTACCAATTTATACAGTAATATACTTTATTATCATTTTGAAGTTATATTATAAAACAAATTGTTGACATACATTGAAATTGAAATCTCAGTCAAAGGTGTATAAAAACAGCAATAAAGTACTTATTTACTGTATGAAACTCAGTATTATCAGGTTTTAACCGCTTTGTTAGTGAAATAGAACATAACATATACAAAGTGAACACATGAAATACTTGCTTAGGTATTTGTTAGCGGGACATAGACTGGATTAAAGCATACTCAATGCACGATTGCTTTGGTGCACGCCGATTGGCTAGTTCTTACCCAATCAGCATTAGCCAATACTTAATGAACACTAGAAATCTCATGTGAAAAACTATAAATATACTAAAGTTTTCCCTATTGTGCTTCTTACTTCCATCTAACCTTGTTATTTGGAATATAATCTCTTTTCCTGTTCAACCGTGCTCTGATTTGGGGGACTTGTCGAGTGAATTGGTGTCCGAGAATACTAAGCAATAGGAATAGCTGGGTTGTAAAAAAGAGAGAATTATAACAGTATTACCATAGTTTATTTAAATAAAAACTAACCAATTGTGTTCTTCATTCGTCATTAATTGAGCTCGACGTTGCATATCTTCGATCGTAGCTCTAAATAAATGATAAATTTAAAAACACTTTCAAAATAGTTCTTAAACGTGTCTAGAAAACTGAACTAACTAATCTATATGAAGACCGCGTCAGTTTGAAAATAGATTTCGTCACGAAATGACATAAGTTAGCGAAACACTGAAAAAAGAGGCTATTGGACAACTGTTCTCATTACTATGGATTCTGAAACTAGATAAAACAGCTGTTTAATATGTCCTGGTTTTCTGAGGTTTTCCAGCTGAATTTAGTTTCTGATAAAGAATGCCTCAAAATTAGTAGTATTTGGAAATGATTTCAAGGGTTATACATCAGTTTATCTTAATTGTTATTATTATTGTGATTGTTGTCAGTTGTTGGTGTCGAAATATACTCACGTTATAGTTAGGCCAGTCACGTGTTCTTGATCTGAGTTGTGTTGAAGTCCTATAGAATAGACACTGAGAGGGTATCTAGTATATACATTCGTCTAAGGTAAATTAACGTCCAATTGTGTAGTGAGAAAACTGATTAGACTTTAAAACAATCTCTCTATCAAGGGATAGATTTCGATCAAGTGGCTACATATCAACTTTATACAGTAAAGCTTAAACCACGAGACCCGACTGTACATAACGTTTTGAACGTTTAATATTGTAAACGTTCAGACTAAATTTAAATAATAATTATTTCTGACCAATACATTTTCGATAACCAATAAGTTGAGAATATTTATATTCCTCTTCCTAATTGTAAATTTATATCACATTTCTAATTACTTCTTTTATGGCATCAATAGGAATCATTTATGAATATAAACACTTGTAATTTCTCAGTTGGATATGTAGAAACAAGTAGACATTGAAAGTAGTTCTCTCACATTCTAAAATGAAGCCTACTTAAACACAAATATAAAACTACTAATCTGCAACTGACTTAAAAAAGCATCAGGATTAATATTATGTAATGAGGCATTAGTAATAATGTCAGCTTCCCAATTAACTGAGTTCTATGCAAATAATGATCTAAAACTCCAAGCTGTTTCTTTAATTCATGTAAAGGAATAATTATAAATCTATAGCATAATTTGGATTCTAGTATCAATAAACTATCCACAAAATTGTGTTTGCTGTATTTGGACAAACAAACAAAATTACTTATTAATCCTGTGTTGAACAAGTTAACCAGCATACACATAGATATCGTAAAATCTCGAATTAGTGGTGAACGCAACAATAATATTTCTCCATTTTTATTTTCTATTCAATTTGTTGCATTCCATGAACTAAGAAGGAATTTTTCTTTCGGAAAATGAAAAACCAGTATGGACATTTATACAAAAGATGAAAGTTTGTTCAGATTATCGCAGAAAAAATATGGTGCATCAAAATTGAGCAAAACATTTATTCACTGTGTTTCGTTGTTTTTCCCAGTATACTTAGTAAAGTATCTTAAACTACCTAAAATTATTGTTCTCTTTCAATACTGAAACTGTTCATTTCAATTACAACGAAATGTTACAAGTGAAGAAACTGGTTAAAATAATGACACTTAAAAATTCAAGTTAATAAACAATGAGGGCAACATATAGGTTAAAAGATGTTGTATTTATTACTTTAAACGCATTCTATAAGGTAGTCATTTATCATTAGTGATGTTCGATGAGTTTCATACTGATTAATTCTTGACCAAAAAAGAGTTAAAAATATTTCATTATTATTACTAAAACAAGAAAATTCCAATGAGATCAAGTATCAACTTACGTACTTAAAGCAAGGAAAACTACTCAGAAATGAACTGAAAGTTAGAAGAAAACAGTAATCTGCCAGAAAAACGGCCACCATAGCATAGGACGTTGAACCCGAGTGTAATAATTTCATTTGCCACACCTTATGAGATTGTTCATAAGGCAAAGTGGACAGGAACGAAAAGTAATCATAATGAATGAGAAAAGCATAAGAGAGAAGAAACAAAAAACAAAGGACAAAATATGCAACATTTAAGTATGAAGAACCAAATGAAATAGACTGCTTCAAGATACAATGAAACATACTTTTGCCTGAGATATTCTTTTTCTTCCTCTCGTATACGTTCACGTTCTTGTATATGATAATTTACAATGAATTTAGGATAACGAGTGATTATTGGATAGTATGGACTTGTCAGTGGTTGAAAAGATAGGCAAGTATTTTCTTTGTTTTTATTTTGAGTATCCGTTTGTATAAGCGAAGACAATAATTTTTCTGGATGTATATCTGAAGGTATTGAAGTAAGTAATTGATGAGCACGCTCAATAATATTTGATATTGGTAAAGTACTTTGACTATGGTAGTATGCCTGTTGACAAACGAAAAAGTGACTTTCGTAAAAGCGCACAAAAATTAGACAAGTACGATTTAGAAAAACACTTGTACCATGATGACAAGGATAATTTGTATGATGATGATGATTTTGAGAATTAATTTGACGAAAATTCTGTCAAATAAATAAATAAGCTATATTTCGTATTTTAGCAGTTTCAGAAACAAATGTAACAAAAAATTTCAATATACACATTCGGACAGTAAAATTGCATGTGATGAGACAAGCACAATAACCTTTAAAGCACAAGACTGAAAACTCGTAGTCTGGATTTTGAACTTTGTTAAATTTGTGATAAAGCCTAATCGACTCACTCAATATGAGTGACGTGTAAATTGACTAATTTATATACATATCAAACAGATTCTGCTTATTTGATCATTTGTATTAGTTGTTTGGATCTTTTAATTGATGTTTAGGACTGCAATTGATCAGTCTGTTTTTGAATGTGTGCATCATGTGCGGATTGCCTTAAGTTACAAGTATTACACGCAGATACTGATCAATTTCAGTCTTAAACATCGGTGTGAAGATTCAAACAACCAACACAAATGAATTGAGCTTCATGCCATTGCACAAGCCAGTTGTAATCTGAACTCAGTAGCAAAGTGGATAGATAACGCGATGGTGTTTGAAGTGAACGGTACTGATTTCGAGTTCTGGAGTGAACGTCAACTCTGGGATCCAGGTGTATCAAGTTGACGAGTCCTAAGTAGGCCAAACGAAGGTCCTGTACTCCACTGCTAGCCACTATCCATTTCTGCTTGTATTTGCATGCACATTTACTGAACAGAAATAGCATTTGGAATATGTCGATAATTTTATACATTACATAGTAATACCAACAGGAAAATATTTACTTCAAATGTATCAGTATTTTGAACCATAAGAAGTGGTCCTCGAGCGCAGATAGAATAGCTTGCAACCGCAGCAAGTAATAGACTAGGTGAATAACATATTAATGAATCCCAGAGACAAAACCATTCATCTTCATTAAATACTTCACTTAGACCAGTTTGCAGAAGCGGCCAAGCATAAATCTGAAGCGATTAAAAAAATCCAAGTCACAATTTAGTAAGATGGGGGATAAAAAATAACAAAAAAAACAACGTTCAAACACAAAATAAAATGATTAACTGAGATTAGCCGCAACTGGCACATACGCTTACCTCGGTCGTAATGTTATATTGCACAAAATGACGATACAATTCTGGATCCGCGTAAGCGATAATATTTTCAATCATGCAAAGAATATTAATTGGGGGGTTTGGGAAAAATTCGAACCAAGTACCGCACCAATTGACTGTGCGCAAAAACATATAAGTGAAAAAAAACATAACGTGAATCTCTATGAAATTTTGTTGTTAACCATTCATGCGTCAAGATCGTTTAATCACACGAGAAAGTATGCATAAATATATCTCTGCACCAAAACACCTATTTCCTGTGTACAAATAATTTGGGGTTATATCATTCCAATTCACTTGACATAAACTACACCCTAGACACATTCTATTACAACCAAACAACCACGTCATACCCATATCATAACATTCTCTACTGGTTTCAAGGTTAAACAGTTCATGTCAATCGAAACACCTTCCAGGACGATGTAAATAAACAACATTTCCTAATAAACATGAAATTTGTAAAATTAAATGACAATAAAGGTTCCATTCATACGTTATCACTGTTCAGAGCAAGCGTTATGATATGTTCACTGTGAACCAGGAGGACAGTGAATAACTGTAGCATTATTTTAGTAACGTTAACAGTTTAATGAAAAATTGGCTAAAATTCGTTAGGTACATCCACTAATCGCTCTCCTGAATTTGAAACTCAATGGTTCACTTCCACAACTTTCATCAGCAAAGTAGACAACCCAACTGGTCGAAACATTTTTCTAAAACAGTTACTATATTTTGTTATAAACGGATGGCTAATACACTGTTATGATGAAATTACACTGAGTTTACTTTGACCAGTTCCATTTTTCAACTAGTAATTTTACTTTAAAATTTTCCATTCATTGATGTGTAAACCCAGTTTGATAACAAAATGTTTTAATCACCACCTGAGCTGGCTATCGTATATTAGACTATCATCAATAAGGTGAAGTTTACGTGATATTCGATAAATGGACGCAACTGATAGAAAACTGAAGGTAAACATTTTGTATATTTTCAAACTATTTAGCAAAAATAACTACGGGAATAAGTCATATGAATTGTGAGATAAATACGAGTTACTGGTTTTCTTTATTTTATGGATACATTTATGATTGACGACGTATTATGTAGATGTTGAAAATACCGTTTGACCATACATTTTGAAAAGAGTGTGAAACGATTTTGATACGCAACTATAAAGTAGACGGTTTCTTAGTTACATATTTTACGCACAACATCCACCTTTATAATTCAGTAACTATAGAACACTTACTCAGTACTGTAGCTGCAACTTCAAATGCATGCAACAGATTATTCTGATGTAATTTTAGAAAAGGAAAAACAAACAACGGTAACCAATCTGTTTCACCAAACAATGGACACCAATAAGCCAATGCCGAACAAGTTCTTTTGTTATTGTGATTTGATTTTTTCCAAAAATACAACAAAGAATTCGAGAGAAAAACATTTTTATAACAGTTAGATTGGACAGAATAAGTGATTGCAAACACCTTAGCGCCAGTTGTATATCACCAATGAGTATTTGCTACATAAACATTTTTGTATAGTGAGGCATCAAGACTTTAAAGACTATAGTGGAGACCAGATTATTTTGTCATTGTACTTATCAGAGTTATGATATATTATTCGAATACATAGTCTCGATATAATAGCATGGTTTGTTATACTTTGTTTAGGTAACACAGTGACTTGAATTGACAAGGAATACTACAAATGGCAGTGACCAGCAAACGGATCAGTAAGTCGAGGAGTGATTATTACCAGTTAGTAATATCGAAGTCAGCGTGTATTCCATCATAACAATAAGGGAAATTTAACAGTAAACTTTATCAACTATACAGGTTTGTACAAATAACTCTCTTCCTCTCTCTGTGTTAACCTTCATGCAACCATAAACCAATATACCTAGTTTTTAATCGCATTCAATAGACGTGTACTAGTTTGTGCTCTCCTATGCTGTTTCTTACCAAAAACAAACAACTTCCAACATCCTAACAATTCAGATTTTAATGAACAGAAACAACAGTTCTTTAACCACTTAGTAATGACATATTACTGGAGTAACCATTAGACAGAATTTCGAATTATGTTTGTAGAAATTTGACAACAAACAAACATTTGGCGATTCAGTAAATGTATGGAAGTGAAACTGTTTTATTTGTCATAGCTATCACTGATTATATATCATATAACTGACATAAGGAATAGAATATTTCAGAAGGGTATATTAAATGTTTTTTTACCACATAACGATTTCCCTTTTGGAAAATAAGGAAACTCCCAATTATACTTATGAATAACTAGCTAATCACCCAAAGTGAGCATTTGTAATTGGGAATCTAAATACTAACATTCACGATTTTATTTTATTTTATAGACAATCCTGAATTTATATGCTATAATTTTAAACGATATTTTTTGTCTTAAAGCTGATCATTTTCTGGATGATTAATTTGGATATAAAACTGTAGAAACAGAAAAGAATTCATTGAAAAGAATATTCTTCCGTCATATGCTATTATTTTAATTTAGACGTAGTTGAATTTTGTCTGTAATTTATAAAATTTTGATTTCACATCATTTCGATTATACAAATAGGAACAATATTTGAACCTGAATCTGAATTTCAAGCAATTTATGATCCACTTTTTTTAAACAGCTATCTGTATATGATGTACGCTGAACATCAAGACAATCAAATATTTGAGGTTTATTTGTTAAGCAAAATTACAACCAATTACGAATTCACCAAAACTACTGTAGAACCAAAGGTCAATACGCATTTTACTTGAAATATAAATCTTGCATTATCAATACATGTACAAACACATCAACAGATTGTAACTGGAGAGATGCTAGTTTTAATACATAGTGGACACTGATCCGTGTGTTGTGTAGAAAAACTAACAAACATATAAGTAGATGTTTTCATTCTCAGTTTGATAACAACAAATGAATTGTAAGTGTAAAATACTAAGTGAAAAGTACACTACATAAAAAATAAAGCTAAAAAATCAACCTGACCAAAATCAAGATGTAACAAATTTCTATAAATTTCATGACATACTTACAAGTTAGAATTAAGTAATCATAGGTAAGACAAATTTATAAAAGCGATCCCGGGAGACCATTTAAATCAATGAGTTAACATTATGAGATCTACTTGCTTTAAAAATATCTAACTTGAGCTTAATATATAACTAACACCATAAGGTATGGATGGAAGCTATGGTTACAACGCTGAAAAATTTAGTTCATTACCATTACTAAAACCTAAAAAATGTCATACTTGGTACGCAACCGAAAGAGAGTCGATTAAAAAAGCATATCCATCAGAAGAAACAAACTGTCAGTGACACTTACATCTATAGATGAAAGCTAAGATTAACTGTCGATTAACGATTGTTTCATAAAATCAGTGTCAAATAATCGTAAAGAGATGAGCACTCGATAAGTCAAATGGTCAATGAAAATAACGCAGATGCTAAAGTATTTCTTACTTTTGCAGGGCTTTCAACAATCTTTGACTCCGCATAGGATATCGCGTAGATAATAAATCATAAGCTGGATGAATACCTTTCTTCTGTAGAATGCTAAAAGCTTGGGTATTACATGGGATTTGCAAAACGGAACGCCAAATGAATAACCTGTTATTAAAATATAATAGGTATAGAACGATATATCAATATATCGTGAATTTGAAGTGCTTCTAGAATAGTGCACTCGTCAGAAATCTACGATGAGATATAATACCAAGAAATGAAATAGAATGAAGGGTATTGATAATCAAAAAAGAATTTAATTTGTTTAAAGCATTTTCATAATGTGATATACTCTCTGTATACACAAGTTATTGCTTTACAGACAATCTTGTGAATACTCCTCCAATACATTCGTTTGTAGTAGTTTTACGAAAAAATAAAAACAAGAATATATTCATAATCCTAATGAGAAAAGGTATATATATAGTTATTTGTTTTAGAGAATATTTCACTTGTATCATATTTAGCATCAGAATAACAAAATCAAAAGTGCACTTTACAACAATATCCATAGAGATTTGTTAGCATTTTATTCTACTGAGGTTAAACAAAGATCTCTCACTATAATACTGTTTATAGCGCATGACCACAGTGTGCATAAGATACTTCAATAGTTAAAATCACAGAATGAAGTGTTGTTAAACAACTTGAAAATAAATAGAGGGATGTAACAAATCACACAGTAGACATATTTTCCATGTAAGCGAACGTTGATCCTGTCATTTAACCAAAATCATAGACCGAAAGTATTTTTCAGTTTAGTTCGTTAACTGTAAACTAATTAAGATCAATTGAAAACAATAATTCAGTACCAGTCTCTGTATTTCATGATCAATCACCTAATGAAGAGTTGTGTGACATTCTAAACTATGCAAAGTGAGAAAACATCTGAAATCATTCCATTTCTTATTTCCAAACCCTGTAAAATGTAACCTAGTTCAATACGTGGATGAAAACTCCATGTCCAACATTATCAAAGTTCGGAACAAGATATTAGAAATACTATATTATTCGCGCAATGTAGGCATATCATGGCATCTGTAGGGAGGGAATCCAATGGAAATTCGAGTGTAAACTGTTACCTCTTCCATTATCACATCTATAAAACAGTGAAACAAAAATAATAGCAAAAAAGCTTGTCGAATACTACCCGTTACCGTCACCATAAAATATCCTTATCTAAGCTGTTATAAGAAAGTATTAGCCTTTCAGTAATAATGGTTTTTGAGAGACTCCTGAAAACCATGTAGTATCAAAAAACCTCCAGTTCAATGGAGCCAAGTGCATTCACTAACAAACAGATAACTATATTTAAGTCTTTTAGCAAACATTATTGAGTTCTAAGGCATACAGAAGGGTATATAATTAGTGAACAATCGTTTATCACGCATAAGATCAACCCAAGTTTCTTATATTTGATGTTCCAGAACTTCAGTAAGGTATTAAATGATTATATGCTTTAACATATTGAAGACTGTGTTAGTTTAATTCTAAAGTTATCGCAAGAGTATTCTAACACTTTCTTACAAAAAAGAGTCATCAACAATTAAGATGGGTTTAAGGAGACTATTCTTTATTTTACTAACATTAGCCGATACCTTAGTTGTAGCCAATTTGAAACTGAAGCTAAAAAAGAACTGGACAAGTGGACAAACAGCAATACAAAGGTTCAATACAGCCTTCCTTCGAGATACTGTCAAACTCAATGAATTCAAGATAGCTCTCAACAACAGGTTCCAAGCCTTACGAGATCTACTGAAAGAAGAAGAAACTACTATGGAGGACAACTGGAAAGGCATCAAGGAAGCATTAACTTCAACGTGTCAAGAGGTTCTCGGTCTAAAGAAATACCATCATAAGGAATGGATCTCTACAGAAACAGTGGACAAGATCAAAGAAAGGAAGAACAAGAAGGCAGCAATAAACAACAGCCGAACACGAGCAGAGAAAGTCCAAGCACAAGCTGAATACATAGAAGGAAACAAACAAGTGAAGAGGAGCATTAGAGCCGACAAGAAGAAATACGTTGAAGAACTAGCAACGACGGCAGAAAAAGCTGCTAGAGAAGGAAACATGAAACAGCTTTACGATACAACGAGGAAACTATCAGGGAAATACAGTAAACCAGAGAGGCCGGTCAAAGACAAAGAAGGCAAGCCAATCACCGAAATTCAACAACAACGTAACAGATGGGTAGAATACTTCGAGGAACTCCTGAATAGGCCGGCTCCAATGAATCCAGTGGACATCGAAGCAGCACACATAGATCTTCCTATAGATGTCAATCCACCAACTACGGAAGAAATTAGAATGGCCGTCAGACAAATCAAGAACGGGAAAGCAGCAGGACCCGACAACATACCAGCTGAAGCACTGAAATCAGACATCGAAACAACCACAAGCATGCTTTATCTTCTATTCGAAAAGATTTGGGAGGAGGAACAAGTGCCGATGGACTGGAAAGAAGGACACCTCGTCAAGATTCCAAAGAAAGGAGATCTGAGCAAATGTGAAAACTACAGAGGCATAACACTACTGTCAATACCAGGGAAAGTCTTCAACAGAGTGTTGCTGAACCGGATGAAGGATGCAGTAGACGCCCAACTTCGAGATCAACAAGCTGGATTCCGTAAGGATCGGTCGTGCACAGACCAAATTGCAACACTACGGATCATCGTCGAACAATCAGTTGAGTGGAACTCATCATTATACATCAACTTCATTGATTATGAAAAGGCATTCGACAGTGTAGACAGGAGGACGTTATGGAAACTTCTTCGACACTACGGAATTCCTGAGAAGATTGTCAATATAATCCAGAACTCATACGACGGACTACAGTGCAAAGTAGTGCATGGAGGACAGCTGACAGATGCATTCCAAGTAAGGACCGGAGTCAGACAAGGCTGTTTACTCTCTCCCTTCCTCTTTCTTCTGGTGGTCGACTGGATTATGAAGACCTCGACATCTGAAGGAAAACACGGAATACAATGGACAGCTCAGAATCAATTAGACGATTTGGACTTCGCAGATGACCTAGCCCTCCTATCACGTACACACGAACAGATGCAGATGAAGACAGCCAGTGTAGCAGCAGTCTCTGCATCAGTAGGCCTCAGCATACACAAAGGAAAAACTAAGGTCCTCAAATTCAAAGCGGAGAACAGCAATCCAATCACTCTTGATGGCGAAACTCTGGAAGATGTAGAATCCTTCACATATCTGGGAAGCATCATCGATGAACAAGGAGGCTCAGATGCAGACGTAAAGGCGAGGATCGGCAAAGCAAGGGTCGCATTCCTACAATTGAAGAACATATGGAACTCAAAACAACTTTCAACCAATATCAAAGTGAGAATCTTCAATACGAACGTCAAGGCAGTTCTACTGTATGGAGCTGAAACTTGGAGAACTACAACAACCACAATCAAGAAAGTACAAGTATTTATAAATAGCTGTCTTCGCAAGATACTCAACATCTATTGGCCGGGTACCATCAGCAACAGCCTTCTGTGGGAGAGAACAAACCAACTTCCAGCTGAAGAAGAAATTAGGAAAAGACGATGGAAATGGATAGGACATACATTACGCAAATCGTCAAACTGCATCACGAGGCAAGCCCTAACTTGGAATCCTGAGGGGAAGCGAAAAAGAGGAAGGCCAAAGAACACATTGCGTCGGATAATAGAAGCAGATATGAAAAGGATGAATTACAACTGGACGGAGCTAGAAAGGATTGCCCAGGACAGGGTTGGATGGAGAACGCTGGTGAGCGGCCTATGCTCCTTCACGAGGAGTAACAGGCGTAAGTAAGTAAGTAAGTAGCCGATACCTTATTTAATTACACTAGAAGTTCCTGGCCACTATATCTAAAGACTTTCAGTACCAGATAGTTATATACTAACTTGTTGCTTCCTTCCAGGTTGGTCACATAAATTTGGATTTTGAGACGTATTTGTGGGTCAACGGCAATATTGTATTCCAGATGTGATCGAGTTGTAGACGGAAGATTAGCCGTAAGCCAATTAAACGGTTCCTCGAACTGTGTTGCCTAAGGTGTCAATCACCGATCTCATCAAGGACGAACTCTTAAGAGACAATTCCTTCCAATAAATCATAACGAAATAGAATGTCACTTAACTGCGGTGATTTCTTCATTCCTATTACTTCTGCTTTCTATTCACTTTATATGATCGACAACTAGATAGATTATTGACATGAAAGTGGGCAGCTTTTTTTCTGTATTCCATTTTAGTCTTTCCATTATTCAAGTAACTTTAAAGAACAGGCCTAACATACAGAACAGACCAATTTTTTCACCGTTATAGGTAACGGTGAACAACTCCATGTCTTTTAGTATCCTTAAAAAATACTAGCTTAAATAACATTCGTGGTGTTACACGAAAGAAAAAGCAGCAAAGTAACATAGCATTAGAACGGAAACAGAAATTTCGATGCATAAAACAACACACTTAAGTTTGAGTAAATTGATCTACAATATTTGGTTAAATATGCCGTAGCTGCAATCCAAACATCGTTTTTATTACAATAACTGCATCGTCCTATCATTTCACAAATGGATTGATACCAAGCTCCACAACACTGAACCAAGGACTTTCAGATTTCCCAACCAGTCCCAGTGACAATATTTTCCGATTTCAATCAATCGCACACACAACAACAAATGCAGAAGAAAACGACCAGTGTAGCAGCAGCCTCAGCAGCAGTAGGTCTCAATATACACAAAGGGAAAAGCAAGATTCTCCGATACAACACAGCATGCACCAATCCAATCAAAATTGACGGAGACGATTTGGAAGATGTAAAAACCTTTACATGTCTGGGCAGCATCATTGATGAACAGGGTGGATCTGATGCAGATATGAAGGCGCGGATCGGTAAAGCAAGAGCAGCATATTTACAACTGAAGGACATCTGGAACTCAAAACAACTGTCAATCAACACCAAGGTCAGAATTTTCAATAGAAATGTCAGGACAGTTCTACTGTATGGGGTGGAGACCTGGAGGACTACGAAAGCCATCATCCAGAAAATACAGGTGTTTATTAACAGTTGTCTACGCAATAGTCTTCGGATCTGTTGGCCAGACACTATTAGCAACAAACTACTGTGGGAGAGAACAAACCAGATCCCAGCGGAGGAAGAAATCAGGAAGAAGCGCTGGAAGTGGATAGGACACACATTGAGGAACGCACCCAACTGCATCACGAGGCAAGCCCTCACATGGGATCCTCAAGGCCAAAGGAAAAGAGGAAGATCAAAGAACACATTACGTCGAGAAACGGAGACAGACATGAGAAAAATGAACAAAAATTGGATAGAACTAAAAAGGAAGGCTCAGGACAGGGTGGGTTAGAGAATGCTAGTCGGCGGCCTATGCTCCATTGGAAGTAACAGGCGAAAGTAAGTAAGTAATATTTTAGTATCGAATTTCACTCGGATGGATTATTTAAAGCGCTCTATTTTTGACATTGTTTACTTCGTAAAATTAAAGTCTTTCTGATTAATCTCTGTATGAGGATTCTATCAATAATCTTAAAACACAGTCAACAGAAACTAGATTTTATCTGATCATTTGAAATAATGTAAAATTTTAAAATAAGTTAGATTACCGATATTTATTTGGAAATTTCCCAAATTCTCTAAGTAATAAACGTAAACGTTTGCGATCCAAAAAACCATTGGTCTAAGAACAGTGACAGATAGAAACGAATATAAATAAATTAGACCATTTTGGCAAATAATGTAAAAATATAATTTCTACAGCAAAGCAATGAGTGAATTTACTATAAGCTGTTGGGTAGCCCGGAGTAGTTATTAAAATTTGAAGTTGTTTACAGATAACTTCTTAGTGTCAATCTCTACACATGTGCATTTTCACTTCTGTTTTAAAAGTTTTGATTACTTTTATCATTAAGACTGATAACTTTCAACATAAATAACTGTAATAAACTATTTACTCTACACAACAATCAATTTACTAAAATATGTATGATATCCTTCTCCTGGGATGTTATGGTAACCTTCTGCTGTAAACAGCTGTTTACAGCAGAAGGTTACCATAACCAGTTGATGATGCAAACAGTTTTAAAAATTAATTTCTTGAAGTACAGAACAGATTAAACAATTTTTAAATACTCCTGAAGTGTTGAAGCCTTTGTCAATATTTCCCACAGCCTAGTGAAAAAATAGATGGTGTGCTAAGTCACACTAATGAAAAACACAAAAGAATTATGACAGGATAATTTGAAACCAACTGCATATAAGAACAATAAATAAGACTGTTGTTTGACATTTGCGAATTCTCAATGAAAGGTGTGATTATATATTAGGATAATCAAACCTCGTACGTTCTGCGTATATTTAAACGCGCAATGACCCAGAGTATAGTGAAAGCTACAAGCTGCAAATATCTTTAAAATTATCTGGGGGAAGGAAAATGTAAATAGATCAGCACATATTCACTCACAAAAATGAGAGTTTTTCTGGTCAGGCTAAATGCTTGACGGTTTAGAATAATAATCTGCTTAATCTAATGCTGTCAGCACCATTCTAGTTCCTACTTCCGGTTTAATTGGAATTAAGTGAACAAAATATAGAAAATATGACCATTTCTAAAGTACCGTTTTAAAGCTATTCAAGAAATGCTTGTACCACATGATGTACCAACTCCACTCGCTTACTTGACACTTATTGATTACCATTAAGAGATGACTACCACTTAATTATTTTCTCGTAAAGAATACTAGGTGGGACTGAATGAAGTAGTGTCAACCAGCTTTGGAGGCCTAAAAGCACCACTGGTATCTAGTCTTCTCTTAACATATTACGATCTGAAGACGTCACTAATCGTTGCAGCAGATGCGTCTACAAACAGGGTGGGGACCGCCATTTTACACGAATTTCCTAATACAGAGGAAAAGGTGGAAATGTACGCATCCAGAACACGGACACCAGAGGGTAAAAGCTATCGGCAAATAGTGATTATTTGCGGAACATCATTCTCACAAGATATACTGCAGAAAGCTCACATTATTGACTGACTACAAGACCATGCTAGCAGCCTTTAGCTTCAAATCTGAAGTGCTAGCATTCTGAGGATCGACCAAAGCGATGAGCGATAACACTATTAAGATACGATTCCAACAATCAGTAAATGACGGAGAGATTTTTGTCAGCCAGATGTCCTATTTCACCTAAAAGGAGGGTATCTCACTACGAAAGGGGAATCTATTATTGCGACGATCTCTACTACAATGAAAATCTTAACAGTGATGATGAGCGATGATTGTGAAAATTGATGAAGCTTTTCTTCAGTACCCTTTTGCTGCTAATACATCTTCAACCACTAGCTCTAAGTTATTGCATCGCATCTATTAACCACTCGAAATGTTGTTGCCAAAGACCAACAGTTTACGAATATCAACCATAACAGTGCATTGATTTAGTCAGGGTAAAAAGGTGGTCTCGAAGTTCATGAAGTACATTGTGAATCGTCTCATGGTCTGAAGTTGTCATAACTCACCTCTCCACAACACCTTTGGAAAATGTCACTAAAAAAAGAGAAGACCAAAACTCTACAATCTACAGGCTAGCGTTGTAGTGCACAATGTTTGAAGGGACCAAATGTGATGTGGTGATAAAATCAGTAAACATGTCAGCAGATACCACCCCAGTATCTTACAAATACATCACAGACGATGTTAATGATCACCTTGTCAATTGACCTCTCAGCCGTCTGTCAACTGATGTCGAGATGCCGTGTATAAATGGCTCAAATCCACTCAGTCATTGCTTTGTCCACAAGGAAAGACTACCTGTAACTTGAATATTGATAGAGAACCAAGAAACTACCCAACTTATTCTTTTCAATATTTAAGAAGAGGTGGATTTCAAATCGAAACTGGTATTATGAGACAGATAATTTTAATTCAAAAAGTGGCGATGCTAGGAAAACCAGGTTATTCAATTCTTGTTAACAAATGATAGTTTATACGAACAGTGATAACCGCGACGTTTTCTCAGTTTATATCCCTACGATGACATTTGCCGTTAATTGACTAGTTGTTCTTACTTTTAGTTTGCTAACTACACTGTGTCTTAGGGTCACTATTGGTCTATGTATACAAAAAGTTATCGCATTATCAAACTTATTTCTGAGTTCTTCACTTCATATTGTCTTCTATTGTGTTGCGGACTATCAGTGAAGTTTTGTGTTTCGGTTGTCCGATCAACCGAGTTTATGTTGATCCAGTTTCGTACTGGAAGAATATTCAATTATTCATAATCAGGAATTACAGTAAGGTACAGGAAAACTCAGCATAAACAACAATGAAATACATACACAAACATTTTATAGAACGTCGCCTAAAGTTCACGCTAAACTATGTACAATGGCCAACGCATCTATGGAACCAGATAGAAAGCATTCATATAAGGGATTCTCAATTTGTTTAAAACATTAAGTTCAGATATTTGCTGAGCAAACTCTACAAAATTTTAAAATACTAAACTGGTTTGTTTCCTGTGTTGAAATATTCCAGATGTATCAAAACTGTTACCGACCAACTTGAGTGATCAAGATATACACAACGTAGACTTATTCACAAGTCACTATGCAAAATAATGTCAAACACACAGACAGGACGATGACTGTGTCCATAATGAGGTTATATAGCCAGTCGGTTTATGAAGGGAAACTGTGGAATTTCGAGATATGCAGAACATCACAAACGAAGGATACTTTAATGAAAAATAGACCACTAATTACCTGGTGTAGACAGAACAGTAACACCAACGATTACAAATTTGAAAAGAACTTACAGGGTCTTTTTTGTGTAATGGACCTGGATTTGTTGTACATATATCTTTATTATAACTTGTAGACATTTTAAAAGTTGGAAAGTCGTTTCTCGTATTGTTTTCTATGTCCTTGAGAGAAGACTTCTCATTTGAAATCTCATTTTTCACTTTAATTATAGGTATTGATGACTGAAATGGATGACAACAAACAGGATTAGCAAATTTATTTACACGAAAAGCGTGGAGATACTACCAAGCAACATTCGAAATTATACACCTCAAAGCAGCATTTACAGATGAATAGATGCCATTATATTTGTTAAGTAAATTTCTTAAGTTTATGTTATAACGCTTCGTTTTACCTCGTCTAATGTTATAACAGTTCGCTTTCCACGTTTACACGTATGGGACGTTAATTTACCGTAAACGATTATCTACACTAGATCCCTTCCAGTGTCTATTCTACAGGACGTCAACATAACTCAGACCAAGAACACGTAATTAGCCTGACCACAACGTAAATATACTTCCACAACGAAAAACGACACAATCCGCAACAATGAATAATCAATAATAAGTGAGTCACAGTAATAAGGATAAGAGAATGTATAACTTATCTGACTCCTGTCAGACTATCTACATGTCTGACTAAGCAGACAACCAACCATGATCATTCTCGTCCACACATCAGTTTATGAAGATTTTTTAATTTCAAAAAACATTCCATCAAGGATTAAGAGTAGCAGAAAGATGACTGAAAATCAAGGTGCGTTAGATATAAGTTGTGTCCTAGTTGGATATAATCTCGTGATGTTTCTAGTGTGTTGGATAACCATATGCTCATTAATAACTTCTATCGAGAAAAACGTTGAAAGTTCTAGTAAAACATTGCTATACGCAGACAGATAAATAAGCACACGCGTATATGAATGGGTAAAAAGACAAAAAGGCAGAGACCGGTAGAAGAATAATTGTGGGTATAAACAGCCAGACAGATACACATAAGATTAGTCCCACCAAGTAGAAAGCAACACGATTATGATTCACGTAGCTCAGATCCCTATAACATCCCTTATTTAACAGTCTCAAATTCGTATTGAAAAAATAAGCTTGAAAATCGACATGTTGCGAAGAGAAATTCATGCAGTACTTAAATAAATAATTTTCAAAGAATAACCTAGTAGTTTAAAAGCTTGACGTCTTTTGATCAACTGATACACTGGGACAGTGCCACCCCCAGAAAAACGAAAAAAATATATAGACTTTAACATTAGGGTTTATCATGGTATTTGTATGAATACAATATAATTTTTATCTCTAACTTTGAAATAAGCCTCATCAGCAAGTTTCACTGTATTTATACATCAAAAACATACAAATAGTAAAACCTGACAATAAACCACGAATGGATAACTTACACTATTGAGGAAGCTTATTACTATTGAAAGATCATTTATGTGTAATAAGCCATGATCATCAAGAATAGCCAATAGTGAATGACAATTGAAAGATTTATTCCGTTCTTTTCCCTGGCAATCAGAGAGATCTAAAATACTGTAAGCCGGTAAACTAAATGATGATAAGAGTGGGTCTTCTAATGAGCCACATCCAAATGTAAACAAGCATTTCCAATAGATAGGAGTTGAGTTCTTTGACAGTTGATGCTTTGGCAAATTTTCTGTGCAAGCTAATGATTTTCTAGAATTTTCGCGGGTTCGTATCAAAAGACGTAAACGTTTATCAGTGCCAAGTAATAGTAGTAGACCAGATAACTAAAGTAAAATTGAAGTTGATGAACAACAAAAGATGCAGTTTTGTCAAAAAAAATTCAACCAGCTTCAAGAACTATATAAAATGATATTATTTACTACTAAGTGCTCATGCAGGTCGGTCATAATCTACATAAAATAATGGTAACATCACTAACCGCAACAATAAGTGACGTAGTTTCAAATTTCTTAGAATAAAATTTAGGTCCCTTAAGTTGTAGATATATCATGAATGCCAACCAATCGACTGCTCAATCTATATATATATATATATATATATATATATATATATATATATATAGGTTTTCAGTTTCCTAAAAAGGATCACGAATATAAGGTTATATGCCGTTGACATGTCGTTTAGTGTTAACAAGCTTATCTTGGTTTACAATTCTTATCAAAATAACGGAATTTGGAATATAAGCAAAAATTTTATAACAATCAAATAACAATTACCTCATCACACATCATAGAATCATGGTAAAATTGGTTAAAATCAATCAAACAAGATTTAGGGATCCATTCAATTCGACGAACTGATTTAATTGGTTCAGGAAGTTTAATTAACTCTCGTAAAAACCGATTATTTGAATTGGAATAATCTACATCTGGACTGTCTTGACTTAAACAGTTTACATATCCTTTTAAATCCCATAAGTAGACAAATGGTGAACGACCAGCTGCAAATAAATAATGACCTTTGCTAGAAAAAAAGTAATAATAAAAGACGAAACACGTAGCTGAATAATTGAAAATTCAAAAAACGAATAAAAATATTGAGATTTAGATTTTAAGATGGTAGTTGTAGGTAATCAACAGGAAACCCTGAACCTAGGTTTCGCGCTACTTGGCACTCATCAGCAAGGCGTACTTGTAATCTTGGGAGAACTGATACTCCCTGACGGATTCGATCCCGTATCACCCAGCTTCACAGTCAAGGACGCTACCACTGAGCTATACGGGCCGCGATTGATTACTGGGTGGTGATCGATAGGATTCAATCTGAACTAAGAAAGACCTGACACTGATCGCCACGCAGTGATCAATCAATTGTAACTTTAGATTTTATTAGTTTATCTGAATTAGTAGCTGTTATTATTAGACAGATAACACCTAACCACTGAATCATGTGGCACAAACAACTGAATTTTGTCTCCAGGCTTATGCGAAGTACTCAGTTGACAAACAACAATCGCAACTTCATCTAGTGAGTAATTTATTTAGTTATTTATTTGAACACATAAATGTTAGTACAAAGGGTCATCAGATATATATGCGCCACACAATAATAATGAGAATGGGAAGAGACAAAGAATGTAAGGTGCGTACGAGAAAAAAGGGGAACAATAAAGAACCGAAATTAGTGTATGATAGTGAAATAATAATAATGGGAAAGGAGGTTCAGTTAGCAAAGGTACAACCAGAAAGAATTCTTCCAGTTAAAGAAGTTGCGTCCATTTTTTATGAAGTAAAATAAAGTTACAGCAGGATCGCAATTGGCTTCTATTCTGAGCCATATCTGATAATGTCTCTAGCCACTATGTTGCACCATCTCTAGGAATTCAACCAGGGAGTCGTGAAGAACCAACAGAAGCCAGTCCTGCACAGCTTTCTTTTATACCACAATATCATGTCATACACTGACCACCTCTTTACTTTTTTCAACCAGTTCTAGAGTCGCAGCTTACATATCAACTTCGGTTTTAATAATGATCAACTATTACTGAAATGTTAGAAAAAAATAGATGTTGGCTGGTTGGGTCACAGACAGATATGAATACAGGTTCAGAAAAAAATCAGCTGTGTGTCTAGTTACATGTTTACTGTGATCATGAATAATTCCCATTTTGTGGCCGTTATTATTATTTATATTTTTATTTGCGCACAATAAAAATACTATGCTTAACTTAAGGATTTTCGATTTCCTTAAGTTAAGATTGCTTGTACTGCAAATAAAAATCTACAAGTTTACTTATCTGAAGGATGGATTTTAATATCTACAATAATTTTCCCGTTACTCTTTAGATGACGGCTCAGATGAAAAATACTCAACACACAACCTTTATAAAGAGAGGTTTTATATATATAAAGCTTAAATCCATATAGACAGCACTATTCAAAACTTCTGTACACTAACAAAATTAGAAATACTCAAACCTGGTAAATGTAATTGTTCTATACAGTTGATTCGGATAATCACTGTTAATAAGCCTTAACAAACACTGAAGAGAATCTGTACTCCAAACATAAATGGATCCATCTTGAAAACAGGATACAATTTGTTCACCACGAGGTGGAATGAAAGTTACCTAAAATGTAAACGAAGCAACAACTATGAAAATTACTTTATAAGAATTTCCGCCTAAATTTGAACGAATAGGTTCACAAAAGTTGGGCGCCGAGTTAGTGTAGTATTACCTTTAAAACGTCGGGACTAGACTGACAAGCGAAAAGTTGGATTTACTTAAAATTCAATCTCTGAGACTTTTACGCATATAATTTTCCCCTTCAATGTATAAAAATGACTGTTTGTTATTAATAGCATAGTGTTAGCTTCAGTTCATTTATGCAATTTTAGAAACATAAAATTCATCAATGGACGCTCACACTTTTTCACAGACTAATGGTACACCTTGAGTTAGTTCAATGAAGAAATACTATGTAGTTTTGGGCAGAACAATATGTATCTGACTAAAAATTAAAAATATTGGTGGACAATAAAATCAAACCAAACCATCTATTTCATGGATTTTACGATACTAAGACCATGACACATGGTAAAGTGTACTTATAAACAGCGTAAAACTGCTATTTGGTTTCGAATAAAATGCGATCATACAAAAAAGTGAATTTTACTCACTTTTTCTAATGGCTGGACATAAGATGACGACCAATGTATCTACAGGACATAACTAAACTTTTATAAAGAACCTGAATGTACAACTATAAAACTATAACAATCCCGTTCATTTTTAACATTATAATGGGAACGTCGGAGAAATAGACTTTTTATGTGAAGCATAAAATCGAGAGTTTGTTTAAAAATTAAGACCATTTCAAGATATACGGAGAGAACATATATATAAATGGGAATCGGAAGTCCTGTAAAATTCAGTTATAGATATTAAAAATTATAATTTAGCAACTCCACTACAATTAAATAATCTGGACGTTTGAAAATAACAAGACAAGTCTATCGATTACAACATAACTTTTGAAATAGTGAAATAAACTCACTGATACCATGTTCACTTTTTGGCCAATATGTAACCTGCAACGACATGTGCTAGTGTCGAGATCCCATAATATTGTTTCACTTAGGGCAGTAGATAATCCATAACGACCAGAAACTGGTTGAACTGATATATAAGAAATTCTGTACGTGTGACCACTCAAAGAATTAATCTCTTTTCCGGACTCTAAAGATAAAATATAATGGTAATAAATGGACAGACTTCGCTTTTCGCTTCATTGGTGTTCAAAGTAACAATATCTGGTCTCTGTCGGTACACGAGTTCATCGATATTACTTTCTTTTTATATACTGATTAAATATTCTGATAGTGGTTAGAAGCCAAATTCAAGACACAAGTTTTATTTTACTGAAGGTTAGTCAGCTGATTGTAAAAACGTAGTACCAACCAGTGTACACTCCATAGCCTTGTCCAAAAAGCTACTGAGATAAGATATCTAACACGTTTTAGCTAATGCGATACACTATTTTTGCTCAAATCGTTTAGACAATACTGCTACTCGTATTCAGTACTGAACTGATCGAACTACACCGGAATATGGGTTCTTTGAAGGCATGTCACGATATTATGCAACTTTAATTCGAAAATATATCATTCCTGAAGGATATATTTATACTTAATATTGAAAGCTGCACAATTTTACACTTTATATAATGAGGAATAGTAAAGCTTAACGGAATCATGTGCATAAAACATAACATAAAGTTGTGAAACTCAGATAGTTAGGACTTGACAAAAAAAATTTGAATTGTTTGTAATGATTAACCACCAAGTCATATCATTTTCTGTCGAAATTATGACTATTTTATGGGGCATAGATTGATTGTTTTTGAATAATATGGGAATATAGGACAACGGCACTACACTTCTGAATGAGCAAATATCGTACGTTGATATGATTTTCATCCAAAAAATATCCTGATATTGAAGAGAAACAAAGCAACAAGTTAGCAACACATCTTCCACAGGAAAACCAGAAAATGGCGAAAATGTTACCCTCGTCTAAGATTCTGATGCTGTTATCATTTAAACCCAGAAGGACATATCCACGTGGTTCGCATAAACATATATATGTAATACCACGATTCAACGAAGCTATTAATTGATACCTAAAGATATTTGCTGTCAAACGGGTACGATGAATGAGGCTTACCAGTTCTTCGCAAAGTCCAAGCAGTATAAATCACCTGAATTTAATGCAAAGTATAATTTATAGCCGCCCGGAGAAAAATGATAAGCAGATATCTGATTTGATATTGTGGATCTACCGTTACCAGTTGAATCAGATTTCGAAGAGCATATTGAAAGAATTTCACTAAAACATGCAAGATAAAAAGAGGTATTATCCTGCATGAAATCAGCGAAATAAAGCAAAGTCTGTAGATGAAATGACTTTTTATAAGTTTATATAACAAAACCTAACAAGAAAACAACAATGCGCATTAAAATTTATAAGTTATATATTCCTATGAAACTTATTTAATGATACAACTGGAATACAGATTCCTGCAACGCCACTGAAATATCGATATATACTGATTATGCATTTTATGATATATAGGCTACAAGCTGGTTCAGTAAATACCTACTAGGGTCGAAAAAACAAGACAGTGTGAACGACAAAATATAAATTCAATCGACTAAAACGTCCAACTACTTTATTTGTACTAACCAAGATACTCATGCAATCACTAGTGAAAATACTGTATCTCATCCGTTATCAAAACTATCAAATGACGAATAGCAGGAATAAATATCTTCAGCAAAAAAGGGTCAATAATGAGCAACTAATGAAACTCCCATTGTTCCCACTGTGTTATCGCTATATACATATGAGCTTTGGATAACGCATTTTCGTTTATTCAAAGGAAAACTACTAAGACACTAGATATACGAAACCACCCAGTAACTCGACGAGTGACGTTAGATAGTGTAGGAATTGGTTGGGTGAGAGTTACGGGCATCCATTTACACGGTATCAGTCAATAAGTTAGTCATAGTAACACAGAACATATCCGCCCTTACAACTCATCACGCTATGTCATCGCAGAGATAAAATTACTAGAACAAGTACTCGAGCAAAAACAACAGTTGGACGAAAAGGCTAATGACATTGTAGTATCCTATAACTAGGGGAAATAAAACTAGCACAAATGATATGCAGTTATATACATCGAGGACATTAATGTAAAACTCTGATCGATATCTGACCCAATGTTTCAGTAACTAAAGCAATCCTCTGCTCATGACAAGCAGTTAACTGGTGTTACTTTTTACCAGATTCTATTTGATATGACAATTATCGAATTTCATACGATATCGAGACCTATCAAAAAAAACAACAGACGCCTAGAAGTTTTGGATAGAAAGAGTTTTTCGGATTTGAATTCAGGTTGATAACTTACCCCCTTGGATTATTTGCAGGATTGTTCCTAAACAAAACCCCACTTTTCTCTCGTAGAATGAACAGACCGCGCATTTAGGCTTGTTTGAATACCCACGCGTTGAAAGCGTACACACAAAAAGTGTGAAAAAACAAGATAAAACAATCGATATTATTAGTAAGTTTGGTTGCTTATTCTCTGAAAGAAGGCCTCACACTAAGTCACGAAACGTCAGAAAATCGAATTTTCCACTCATTGGGATATTACAAATATAGTATTTATTTAAATCGGAATTATTGTTATGTGATAGCGGTCAAGGTCAACATTGAACCATTAACATAAAAACAAAACTTCTGTATAAAAATGCATTTTTCGATATTTTATTTGAATAATCAAAGTTCTGCTCAAATTCACTAGAATTAAAATGGTTCAAATGGTTCATATCGTTCTGGACGGAATAGAAGCTTTCGCTTAACTGGATTCTATATTTAGCAAAAGTGGATGACTGGTGCCTCCGAACAAGAACTCAGGTATATTAACGATAAAAGGAAGATAAAAGGGAATTAGTAAATTATAGTTAGATGCTGTCCTTAGTCCTTAAGAATATGTCACGTTTTCTCTTAATGGACTCCTGGGAAGTCTCTTGAACTTGTGGTGGTTCCCAAACAAAAGGAGCTTACACAAAATATATTGATACACTAGGTTAATAGTGGTATACCAAAAAATTAATAGTAAAGAAACCTATATGTCTGTCCGTTAGTAAAACCCAAAGGTAACAAAATACCGTTAGCAATACAAAAGGTATATTAAACAAACAGACACTAACAGTTACTATAGAATGAATGTTACTTTTTAACTGCCACGTGAGAACAACGACCACAAATTGAGTTCACTTGATTGACAGGTGTTCCTCTGCAAGTGACCCCACCAATGACGTAATGAGGAAGACGGAGTCCAATAGTATTATACAATAGTAATCCGCGCCAAAAAACCAACGTTGAGTCGGAAGGCCTATGATGACGTTATAATACTATTATAATCTTCAATCAAAACGGTGGCCAATAAAACAGAAGAACAAACGGCTTAGATAGTGTTATATATTTTAAATAACGCGGTAGTAGAATCGTATATCACTCATCGAAACAATTATCATCATCTTTTTAACAAGTAATACAGCAAAACAACAGATATTGAATAAAAATGTGGTTACAAATAAGGTGTGACAAATTAGAGAAAAAATGTGGTTTTTATTTTTGTTGTTACAAAAATCACTGAATATATGTCACCATATAACTCCCCCCCTAGGGCATGCGTCAATGGAAGTATGCCCGACGTAAAACTCTAAATGCTTCGGAGGGAGGAGAAAATTGCACAACGGAAAGGGTAAACAAATGTTATTTTTTTTTAAAAATAATGCGTGTATACATATTTAAGAACAAAATGTTTCTCTTGTAGTAAAGAGACCTTAATGTATATAAAAAGTTTAACAACAATAACGAGTATATAATAATAATAATATCATTAGTAATAACGGTAATTAAATTGATAGTTTACCGAAAAGTGTAAATACGTGTATAAATTGTGTAAACAATTAGTGATAATCTGAACGAGTCCAACGAAATTGAATATCTTTGCACAATTAGTAATAAACATCATATGAAACACATACGCATGTAGAGAAAAACATAATGGATTTATCAATATTAGTAGTACACAAGTATTTTTTTTAGAAAAAAATGCTTGCATAAAAAAATGTTATTAGTAACTCTGCTAATATGGATATTCAATCACATTACAGGTAATGACAGAATAACGATTAGGTAATTAATTCAACATAACGTTTAGGAAAATGTACATGTCTTCCTGAACGAGTTGTTTTCGTAGAGGGTAAAGTGTCGGAACTGGGATTTAAATTTGTGGGGACTGTAACCTTAGAACCGTCTGTTTTACGAAATATTGATTTCGTCGGAGTTGGTGAAGAATTATTTGGAAACACTGGGAGCTGCGTTGTGTGATCTTTGCTGTCTTTAGACGGCTTTCGGTTGTCATGTGTTTCAGATTCTATAAAAGCAGGTTTTATCCTGTCGATTGAAACTCTTTCTTTTTTTTCCGTTTTTATTGATTGTGAAATATTTTGTTTGCCTCTCAACCACTTCATATGGTCCTTCATAAGGATGTTGTAGAGGGCGTCTTACGGAGTCAACACGAACAAATACAAATTTACACGTATTTAGATGCTTGTGAGCGTATGTTGCGACGCTGAAATTGTACTTCTAATGCGCAAACCAAATGCGAGGATATAATCGGCTGAATGGGGGCACATTTATCAAATTTAGAGCGTGTAGCTCTGCTGAAATGTTATCCTGGCTAATGCCTTCAGTTTCGGATGAGTACTTTACAAATATACGAAAATTTAAATGCTACCAAGGGTAAAATAACGCCGCAATGTCTGTAAGTGAACTCAAAAGTAGTTTTAAGAGAAAAAAAGTTTACGGGCTCACCAAAAACTAGACCAACCGGCGGCGAATTCCAACATTTGACCACTCTCAAGGGGTAGAAGGTGAGCATCCATTCCTTTCTTCTGTATTGTGATTCTAGTTCTTGGATGTTACCCCTAGGGTTCATATTTAGACTGGGCTTATGTTGGCGTTTGAGGGGATGCACAGAAGTGTTTAGGATGCTTTAGGCCTTTAGAAAGTCGACTTTAAGACGCCTGTACTCTAATGGGTAAGGGTTCAGTAGTTGAAGAAGCTCTTCATAAGACTTGAATTTAAGTCGCCAAACGGATTTCGTGGCTCGCCGTTGGTTACGTTCCAGAATGTCTTCATCCTTTTGGATTGAGAGATGAACTGCTATGTTTCCGTACTCTAAATTGGTATGAATAAAACTGTTGAAGATTAAGTGAAACGTTCTTCCGTTGAACTGGCCAAAAATGCTCTTCAACGTTTCACATTTAGCGTAGGACTTCAGACTTTAGATGTTGAACTGAACATCTTTCAAAGGTTAACAAAATTTTTCGCAATCCATTTTAAGAAGTTTCTGGCACATGGTTAATATGCACATAGAAATAGGAAAACCTCTTGCATAAACTGTGTAGCAATTTGGCTGGATAAACGTTATCTGTTTCGAAAACGTAAATTAACACTGTTAGTGTACAAAACAAAAGTACAGTCCATAAACAGGGAAAAACGTAGACATAATCAACGTACCGAACAGTAACTAGAGAGTGGGAAAAATGAGTCATAATAAACATCGAATTGTGATTGGCGAATAAATAGGACACAGTCATACAGAGTCAGGAAAAGTTAGTGTAGTGGTGGGCGTTTCACTTCACTATTGGTGGGTTCGTTTGTCGATCACATTTTACAGCAAGACTGTGAGTAAGAAGAAGCATTCGGGCATTTGCAATTAACCGTCACTCGATGGTCATATACAAATTATTAAACAAAAGAGTTTGTCAGAGGCGGTTTTGTTGATATTATAGTAACTTTAATAGTTGAGATCATGGGTCGATTGAAGCTAGACCGCCATGGAAAACCTAAAAGCACCAACTATACTTCGTTGTACGTTTCTACCATTCTATACTAACTCATTAACGGATGTTTTGGATGTTCAAATTATATTTGGTTACATTCTTATTCGCTGATGCGTCTGCAACTCTTCTAGTCTACTCTGTTACATCCCGTCGTACAGTTTACATTGCTTCACACTTAGTTGTACGTCTCGACTAATTCATATATAGTTCATAATAAGCGTCCCTTACATTCGAAGTATGTATTAATTTTATTTTTGCTATACTTAAGCTAAAGTGTTTTGTTTATAGTTTACACTATTTCATAATATTTTGTGTTTATATTGAGTTTTCCAAAATATTGTCACCTACCTGTCATGTGGATTTTGTTTCTATTTATCTAAAAAGTTATGGATTTGCTTACCATATGTGTGGGAGGTTTACCTGACGTTGGACGACTCGTTTTAATTGGGAATTATCCGTATAATTGTGATTTTTGGCTCAAACATTTTCGCATGAAGGAATCTTTCCAATAGTGAATTATCGTCATACGACGATATGTTACGCAAAGAATTCCAGTTTACATTCAAGATGGAAAGATGACAGATACAGTATTTACTATGATAATAGGACACAGTGGTTAGGGAGACAGGGGGGCTAACTTTCGTACATAGCAACATGAATGTCATTAGTACTACTACAAATAATATATAGAACGTATAAGCCATTTTTGGGAGCATGGTCAGTAATTTGTAACACGGACTGACAGATGAGATGCTGTTAAAGTTAGTAAAAAGGGAAAGTCAGCGAAAATCTATACTAGAATACTCATATGAATGTGCCAACAACTTGATAAGCGAGTTTTTATGTTGGTACTGTATTATAATCTAAGGCACTGAGTAAGAATTTGAAAGTAAATAGTTGGACAGTAACACATATGGTAAAAAGATGACAACTGATAAGAAATAAATAAGAAGTGACCCACGTAGACATGCCTGATAATAGTTCAAACGGACAGTTTTTTGAGTGTTTCTGATTTTCTACCCGAATAGTCTCTAGTTACATTAAGTTTGATTGAGTTGTTGTGCAAGATATTAATAAAGCCTACAATTTGCTGCATCATCAATGGTAAGACATCATGTTGTGAGAATCGAAAGAAAACTCAAGAGAAATGCTTATTCAAAAGTCATAAAGAAGGAGAACGGTGTGTATAGCATAAGAAAAATGAATAGGGCACAGTTTGTTTACCGCGAATTGTGGACTACGGATTGCCGAAACCATTAAACGGTTAAATATTTATGTTTAGTTGTGGTTGGCAAGTCGTTTCTCTACATTGCTATATTCAGGCTACTATTCATGGTTGAATATCGTTCTCATGTAGTACGCCGCGTAATCATTTGCATCTTTAACCATAACTTGACGGAGTCAAACTATCTAGCAACTGGAAAACAGACCTAATAAGGGATTCACACTAATTAGCGAATAATTTTATTTGCCACAGAATTTAAGCATCAAAAACCATGACCATCATTGGACGGATATGTTCAACCACTGACATTGGTAATAATCCCACAAACGTTCGTG